GTCGCTAAGTTGTAGTGGTGAGTCTTCACATGTCAGGCTGCAGGCCTCAGCGGCCTTCCTGAATGTGAGCTCCCCATGCATTGGGACTATCGGGTGTTAGGCCTTGTCAGGCCTTCCTGATTATGGGTTCCCACTTGTTGTGGCTGCCAGGTTACAGGCCTCAAGTTCGGCCTTTCTGAATTCAGAGTGAAGTACACTAACCCCTACTTCACCTATTATTGTGGTAAATCACATGACGGGATGTCTTGTGTACTTTCTAAAATCCATTTTGTATGGTAAGGGTCACGCGTGGTATGCTTCGGTCCCTTCTTATGTGGCTCAGACCCCGGTCTTCCCTTGGGTCCCACTTTAAGTGGCGTCCTGTCACTGGCTACAGGGACGCCCTTCTCTGGCTAACTTCTGGAAGAAGTAGCTTCCACTTGGTGGAGTAAGCTCCCACAGGTTGTGGTCACCAGGCTGGGTCTCACTGACCTTCCTGAGTACGAGCTCCCACCCAATGTGGTCGCCAGGTTACAGGCCTTACCAGGCCTTCCTGGTCATGAGCTCCCACACACTGTGGTCGCCAGGTTACAGGCCTCAACAGGCCTTCCTGGTTATGAGCTCCCACATATTGTGGTTGCTGGGTTACAGGCCTCACCAGGCCTTCCTGAATTCAGAGTGAAGTACACAAACCCATACTTCACCTATTATTGTGGTAAGTCACCCGACGAGATGTCCTGTGCACTTTTTAAAATCCATTTCTTATGGTGAGGGTCACGCGCAGTATGCTTCGGTCCCTTCTTATGTGGCTCAGACCCCGGTCTTTCCTCGGGTCCCACTTTAAGAGTTCTTAAGAGCTAACTTCTGGAAGTAGCTCCCACTTGGTGTGGTTTTTCAGGTACACCAGGCTGGGTCTCACTGACCTTCCTGAGTACGAGCTCCCACCGGATGTGGTCGCCAGGTTACAGGCCTCACTAGGCCTTCCTGGTTATGAGCTCCCACATACTGTGGTCGCCAGGTTACGAGCTCCCGCATACTGTGGTCGCCAGGTTACAGGCCTTACCAGGCCTTCCTGGCCATGAGCTCCCACACACTGTGGACGCCAGGTTACAGGCCTCAACAGGCCTTCCTGAATTCAGAGTGAAGTACACAAACCCATACTTCACCTATTATTGTGGTAAGTCACCTGACGAGATGTCTTGTGCAGTTTTTAAAATCCATTTCATATGGTGAGGGTCACGCACGGTATGCTTCGGTCCCTTCTTATGTGGTTCAGACTCCGGTTCTTCACTTTGGGTCCCACTGTAGATGTGTCTTTGTCGCAATACATTACGACAGGCACTTCCCTTGTTCAAGCTATCTCCCACAACTGTGGTTTTAGGTCTGATTAGACCTTTTTCGAGGTAGCCCAACATTGTGGGTCTGTCAGGTTTCTAGCCTCTGGCTTTCCTGAAGGATGAGCTTCCACATGCTGTGGTCGTTGGGTTTCAGGCCGCACAACGTACGGCCTTCCTGACATGAGCCCTCATGTATCGGAGCTCCCCACACATGGGGTCATCAGGTCTTAGGTCTCTTTGACCTTCCTGATTTTTGATCCCTCTCTTACTTCCTCAGTGCTCAAAAGCGAGCACTGGGTGGAAACTCGTGGATTGAGTGTACGATTCCCATTGGTTCGAGGTTGAGTCACACTCTCCGGAGGATCCCGTCTCTGTGATCCGAAACTCGATGGTTTCCGCCAGCTTCGCGGGCCTTCAGTTTTTGGATGCCTTTTCTAGGCAATTTCCAGAGGCTCTGTCTTGGACGGACAGGCTATGGCCAGACTGTGTGTCTTAGTACAGATCACCAGGCCAGCCTGGGGGCATTTCAGGAGGAGTGTTCTCCTGAATAGTGACTGGCTGGGGGTCTCTTTGGCCCCCTAGCCACACTCCCTAGAAGGGACCCCTTCTATTTTGAAGTTGTGGTCCTAAAGCCTTTGAGCTGGCCCTGATTTACTCACGTTATTACGTTCTGGTTTTTCTTGGTTCATTAGCTTGGGCTATGACCGGTAGGGAGTGCTGTCACTGACAGCCCGATGTAACATAGGGTGAGTGGTTTCAGTGTTTCTTGGAATTACTGGTTCTGACAGTTGTCACTGCCTTTCGGCATGCACTCCCCTCAGCATGGCGGAGTGGGTATTTCGTTCCCCATAGCGTCATTCGACGTATTGTTGAGTTCCCTTCGAAAGGGAACGTCTCAGGTTACAACTGTAACCTATGTTCCCTGAGAACAGGGAACGAGACAATACGTCTCGTTGCCATGCCTCGGGGCCTGCCTGCAACAGTCCCTTCAGACGATAGGATGTTGTCACGGTTTCAAGGCGCCCTTCTTATACATCCAGATTGACGCGCTCATCATTCAAGCTGATGATGCACGGGCTGTCGCCGGTCAACCTGATTACTGTGAGTTGATATTTGATTTCAGACACCTGTCACGCCTGAGGCGTTCCCCCATAGCGTCATTCGACGTATTGTCTCGTTCCCTGTTCTCAGGGAACATAGGTTACAGTTGTAACCTGAGACGTTTTACTGTAACTTCAGAAGTACCAGACACATGAGCATACCCGCCAATCTCGTCCCAGACAGCAAACTGACATTGAATCAACGTGGAAACGACGTCTCTCATGACATTGAAACAACGTTGATTTTGCTCATCGAATTATCGTTGAACCAACGTCAGACGCGGCATTCTTCAAAGCTAAATGAAAATCGAAAATTGGTTTGCTTTCATAACGTTGAAACAACGCGTTGATTTCAAGTTGATTTTCCGTTAGTTTTGAAAGAATGACGCGTCTGACGTTGGTTCAACGTTAATTCGATGAGCAAAACAATGTCAGATCAACGTTGTTTCGATGTCATATTTCCACGTTGATTCAATGTCAGTCTGCTATCTGGGGTTGGTCGGATAGTTTTTGACGCGGCGGGTCAAACCAAAACAACGAACCCGAGGCGTTTTTTTAAAAATGGTGCTTTTACGCGTGGTGTTTTTCGCGTCGGTGTGAACACTCACATTGGCGGCCATTGTTTAGTCTCGAGGCGTTAAACGCCGACGAATATCGCGCGCGAAATTCGTCCCGGTGTGAACAGGCCTTAATGTTGAGAGTGTGTGAGATAATGACCAAGGGTCTCATTTATAAAACTGTGCGCAGGATACTTACTAAAAGTTTACGTGCGCCCGAAAGCCAAAAATATTCAGATCTATAAAACCGTTCGTACGCCAGAACCTGCGCAGAATTCACTTTATAAATCCCAGTCAGCGGGAGATTGTGCGCAAATGTGTCTCCTCCCCGAAATAACCATATATGGAGATTACAACGCCTAGTTTAAATATGCATATCCTCATCTGCATATCATTTGCATATGATTATTCATCCACGACGTGATACCATGTTAAGGTACAAGACGTTAGGAAAATATGAAATACAGATGTGGTGTATCACAATAAATTATTTAAAAAAATGTTTTAGTAGCCTATGTCCTTGCCTTGTAAATAAATCAAATAGTGTTAAATACATTTCAGAAAAAGATTTTCTCAATCTTTTCCACTGACCAAATAGTGTTTTTAATTGATTTATATTTTTAATGGGAGCAGATAGACATGGTTGTGCATTATTTGGATGGAAATATATTCTCAGAAAATCTGCTATTATCATGATTAGCAATTATCTCAAGTTAAAACATTAAAACACAGAGGGGAAGTGTTCAAAAGCATTGCATGCACAACAAATATATATTTCTATTTATTGAATATAATTTTTTTTGTAATGATTTCATGTAGTTTAAGTGTCTAACTCCATTAATGAGAATGGCATATTTAATCTAAATGTTTATATCAGAAGTAAAACATAGTTTAAATCATTCTTTCATTTATTTAAACTGTTATTGTGAACATGCACTGTATAATTAGGACTCATGAAGATTTATGGTTTTACTTCATCTGCCGTTAGATTATAGGCTATATGTGCGTCAGTTTCACTAAACGGCCCAACGCGCTCGCTGCGCGGACATTTAAGAAGGGATGGATGTTTGCTTCCAGTGGTAGGCTTGATGGTGAGTCAAATTATATTTGTAGGCAATTTTCTTTCTGTATAATTTTCTTTAGATTTTCAGTCTAAAAGTGACCAAAAAGACATTTAACTCCAGCTCACCATCTGTGTCGCCAATTCCCTTTGTCTCCAGATTGTGCGTACGTACGCACGGCTTAAAGTTTGCTTAAAGGTGCGCACATTCTCCAGTCAAGTTTGTTTTTTGTAGATCATAACCTTTGCGTGGAAACTGTAGGACTGTCAAGCGATTAATCGCATCCAAAATAAAAGTTTGTGTTTAAATAATATATGTGTGTGTAGTGTGTATAATTATTTTGTATATATAAATACACACACACATGCATGTATATATTTAAGAAATATTTGCATGTATATACTTTACATTTCTACTAAATTAATATTGTCCATAAATATAAATATTTGATATATTACATTTTTCTTATATGTGTGTATTTATATATACAAAATAATTACACTACACAAACTTTTATTTTGGATCGTTTCACAGCCCTATATAGAAACTGGCTTACGTACGTTTCCAGCCCCGTTTTGTGTGTACTCACGCTTTATAAATGAGACCCCTGGTCTGGGAAACACTGAGCCCCACAGAGAAACAGCCTTACAACCGCATAACAATGAACCTAGCAAGGTTTTCTTCCAGATTTTTTTTTAATCTTCTGATGGATGAACCGACCCTTTCCATATGATAACCAGCTCTTCAAACATCAGCAGATTGCATGTCCAGAAAAGCACCATGTTTTGTGGTCATTTACCAGTGTAGTGCTTTGACGTACTTTTGAGCGTATCATGCAAAAGTCTTGAGTTGGCTTATTATTTAGCACTATGGTATATTTCAAATGACCAAATACTTGCTCAATGGACAGGTTGTGTGAGCTGAAGTGTTGGACTTGACTTGATGAGTTTTCCATGGTCTGCGCAGGGCTAAGCTTCGTGGAGAGCCCTGGGAATGTGACTTCCTCTCTTGGGAAGGCGGTGGAGGTCCAGTGCGTCCTGCGAGCCGACGGGGTGGACCTGGACGTGGTCTGGCTGAGGGAGGGCCAACCTCTGCACTTTGCTGAACTCAACCAGATGCAGGTCCCCGAAGATGAAAACAGCTGGCTGGTTATCAGTAAACTCAAGTAGGAATGCTGACTTTATCGTGTTTAATTTGGACATTTACACTGTGAGTTGGATTTTCGGTTTCCTCTGTCCATGATTGGTGTTGGCTCCATTACTTTGGTAACTAGCGTTATTATTATATAGTAATATATATAGTATGTATATCGCGTATATTATTGCATTAATAAAATTTGTTAATAAAATAATAAAATATAATAAAATAATTGCCTGATAAAAGGACTGAATTACATTAAATCCTGAATTTTTGGACAGAAACGTGATAGATACAGTACACAGAAAAATAAAAATAAATGTTGCTTATAAAGCAACTAGGGTCCCAGACAGCAAACTGACATTGAATCAACGTCTCTCATGACATTGAAACAACGTTGATTTTGCTCATCGAATTAACGTTGAACCAACGTCAGACGTGGCATTCTTCAAAGCTAAATGAAAATCGAAAATTGGTTTGCTTTCATAACGTTGAAACAACGCGTTGATTTCAAGTTGATTTTCTGTTAGTTTTGAAAGAATGACGCGTCTGACGTTGGTTCAACGTTAATTCGATGAGCAAAACAATGTCAGATCAACGTTGTTTCGATGTCATATTTCCACGTTGATTCAATGTCAGTTTGCTATCTAGGGTATTATGCTATAAATTCTAAAAGTAATATATTTAGGGATGGGTACCGAAACCCGGTATTAAACGGGCCCCGGTACTGAATTTTGAAAGACCGCTGTATCGATAAGCTCGGACGTTATCGGTTCTGCTGTCGGTACTGGAGAAATTAAGTAAATACACGCAAGTTGGGCTACTATTATTCCTATAAAGACGTTATCTTGAACATGTTTATATCGCCAGCCATTTCTATATATAAACTACATTTTAATTAAACCATTCGTCTGTGATGCAAATTTGCAATTCGCAGTTCAGAAGAGAGAGAGAGAAGAGAGAGAGCGATCTCTCACGCAAAGCCACAGCACGCGCAACACGACAGCCCTGCTTAATGAGTGACAATGAGGACAGAACTAAACATTCAGCGTAGTTACACTTTAGATCTGGGATATTATTATATTTTGTATTTCGGCTTCCAAAGATTATAAAAAGAAGATATTTGAGATAAAACCGTTGTAAAACGAGACGCATGATCTGTCCAGCTTAACTTCCTTTACTTCACAGCACTGCAGAGCGCTGTCAGTTCGTCCTAAAACCCAAACGTAACCGTCAGAATCAGCACGATCGGCGATTGTTGCAAAATCAAGAAAATGACTATTAAAAACACAAAACCTGCGCAAGAGACGCTGTTCACAAGGCGGTGCACGCTCCGAAACGGACTGCAACGAGACAAGAAAAGTAGCCTATACTTGGGCTTCGTGCGTCCTTAACTATCAAATATACATAAAAATGTCAAAATGACCAGCTCTGAGATTTACTTAAACACAGTTTATTCACTTAAACACAATTATGTCTTAAATGGACATAAATAATAGGGAGAAAATGATGGTGCATCAGTCCCCATTATCTGCACTCGGTCTTAAAGGGGCAGCAGTCTAATAGCCTAAACCTGCTGACGATTCAGCCATTAATGCAAATCAAACAACAAAAGGCAGAGAAAATCACTCACAGCTTTTGAATGAGTAACTTTAGATTTAATAATGATAAACTATACAGTGCTATTTTATATTTGATTACTAGGTTTCTTTTCAGACAGAAACAATTACCTGAAAAGATATGTTAGTACACCTTCCTGAAATTAAAGCACTTTGTATATAATTTGTATCTTTGATTAATTATATTCTTGTGTTTGTAATTGTTTTTTTTCTTATGTGTCCTTTTTGTATATAAAACAAAAAAAGCCTGCACACTGCTGCATAACAAAAATATATTTTTCTTCGTTTTGCTTTTTTCTATTTTACATTTCAAAATATAAAGTTTAATTATGTTCTTAATTCTTAAAAGAAATAAATAATAAAAAACACCAAAAAGAACCGATAAGAATACCGTTAAAGTACCGGATCGATAAGCGGTATCGGTAAGAGTAGTAATACCGATAAAACCTTAACGATACCCATCCCTAAATATATTACTTTACTTGCTACCATCATTACATACAATTGTATTACCTGTAACCTCCAACACTGAATAATGCCCAGACCAAATATATATATATATTAGGGCTGTCAAACGATTAATCGCGATTAATCGCATCCAAAATAAAAGTTTGTGTTTACATAATATATGTAGGTGCACTGTGTATAATTATTTTATATATATATATGTATATATATATATATATATAAGTACACACACATGCTTGTATATATTCAAGAAAAAAATATTATTTATCTAAAAAATATTTATATTTATATATAATATACATTATACATTGTATATACGTATATATCTATATACAATATATACATTAAAGTATTTCTTAAATATGTACAAGCATGTGTGTGTATTTATATATAAAAAATAATGATACACAGTGCACCCACATATATTATGTAAACACAAACTTTTATTTTGGATGCGATTAATCGCGATTAATCGTTTGACAGCCCTAATATATATATATTTTTTAAATAATCTTGGTACAAAGCTCATTGGTGCAATAGCTTATGGTCCAATCCCCAATGAACACACACACTGATCAAACTGAAACCTGAAATTTACAACGAGAGAAAAGTCACATGAATGTATAAAAATTTGGCTATAATTGTCAGATTAAAAGGATCCACTTTCTGCTCACAGGATAGAGGAGCTAACGCTCTCGGATATGGGCTCCTATCAGTGCGCGGTTTACTCCGGTTCAGAGGTGACATTATCCACTGAGGGGCACATCCAAGTAGAAGGTATTACCTTTCTTAAGTGTATGTTAAAATGTAATGTTCTCTTTTGTAATGGGATTATATGTGCAGAGAGGTGGAAACCAACTTTGGGAGTCTGGGAAGTCCTCTATAGCACATTATTGATACATCTATGGATCCTCTTTTTCCTCCTTCAGGTCTGCCCCATTTCTCAGTGGAACCGCACCATTTGTCAGTAGTGGCCAATGTAGGGCTGAGTCTGCACTGTGAGGCTCATGGTCCTCCTGAACCTGTACGGGTCATCTGGCTACAGGACGGGGCTCCTCTCAATAACCTGGAGGACCCCATATCCCTGTCGCCCTCAACGCTACACCTCTCAGGTACTGTTATATACAACTTTGCTTTCCTAACAACAAATTCCTTGTCCCTGTCTGGCGGAAACCTTGTGTTTCCGTCTTTTTTTTCATAATCAATACTTATTGATCACTATTGATGTCTGTCTGTGAGCAAATATTTAACCATTGAATTTTTGGCAAAACCTCAGTTTTGAATGATGTGCCACAGACAGTTTCTGAAGCAACAATGCAAGGGTAAATATAGAACGGATAAAGCAGTTTCTTTACACAAACACTATGCATGGGAAAACCCAGACAACTTCTGGCAAATTTAGATTTGCTCTGAAAGTTAGTCTGGCAAAGAGCTCATCCAAGCCCATTTCCAATCCGTCGAAATCGCGGCACCAATCAGAAACGTTGGGGCGGGCTTTACACGATGAGGACAGCGCTGGGATTTTGAAGCAGATTTTGTAGCCTACATTACAAAGATGGACGCCACCGTCGAACATCACTCGTTTGAATCAGCTATCACGTCTTTTTTAAAGGAGTAGTTCACTTTTGAAAAAAACTTTTGCTGATAATTTACTCACCCCCATGTCATCCAAGATGTCCATGTCTTTCTTTCCTCAGTCGAAAAGAAATTAAGGTTTTTGATGAAAACATTCCAGGATTTTTCTCCATATAATGGACTTCAATAGGAACCGGATGGTCCAAGGTCCAAAAGACAGTTAATAACAGTTTCAGATGCAGATTTGAATGTCTTTAAACGACACCAGACGATGAATAAGGGTCTTATCATGCGAAACGATCGGTTATTATAAAACCTATTCCAAAAATGTAACTTTTCTAAGGACAAATGCTAGCCTTGCTCTATTCTGTGAGGCGCGTTTGTAACGTCATGAATACGTAATTACGTTCAAAAGGTCACGGGAGACGTAGCCGGAAGTACAGAATCAAAATCGTCCGACATCGTTGTTTTACCTTTTAATTAATTTTTTCATAAACGGCGTTTGAGTTAGTTTTACGTTCAACCTATGCGTTCAACTTGTAAACACTGACTCTGTACTTCCGGCTACGTCGCCCGTGACCTTTTGAACGTAATTACGTATCACGTGACGTTACAAACGTCGTTTCGCATGATAAGACCCTTATTCATCGTCTGGTGTCGTTTAAAGACATTCAAATCTGCATCTGAAACTGTTATTAACTGTCTTTTGGACCTTGGACCGTCTGGTTCCCATTGAAGTCCATTATATGGAGAAAAATCCTGGAATGTTTTCATCAAAAACCTTCATTTCTTTTCGACTGAAGAAAGAAAGACATGGACATCTTGGATGACATGGGGGTGAGTAAATTATCAGCAAGTTTTTTGCAAAAGTGAACTAATCCTTCAAGTGATTTGAACGTTTCCTTTTTGTTAACAACCGAACAAAGAACAACACTCGCCGCCGCTCTGCATACGTCATCTCCTTCATCGCTCTGATTGGTTTTAGGTCTACCCGCGACGTCCCTTGGTGACGCCCCTCTGGAAATGATTTGTCTATGACGCTTTGCCAGACCATAACTCAGTTACAACTGAGAATGGGCTGGTTTTAACCAGGCTACATATAAAGGCAAATTCTCCATGTATAGTCCAGTCATTTTAAGCCAAAATGGGGGTTTGTTTGTCTTGATGTAAGTAATCAACTCAGTGATTTTCATGATGATATCGAGAGGTTAAAATTTTGACCCTATTCACGTGAGAAAAAGAATGAATAGGCGTATGAATGGGATATATTTGGGTCTTTTTTTAAACTTTCCCCTAATGGGATTCTTCTGGGCTTTTTTTTTCCCTTACTCAGAACATATTGAGGATACAAAATCAGTTGAATTTGCTTCTGTTGCAATTTGTTCAACCTTTTTTCATAAAATGACTGGACTAGTATTTGAGGAGCCGAGAAGAGCGACTTAGGCTAGCATTTGCTGTCTAGTCATAGCCAGTGTTGGGGAAAGTTACTTTTGAAAGTAATGCATTACAATATTGTGTTATTCCCTAAAATCTACTTTTTTATGGAAGTAATGCATTGCGTTACAATGGGTTACTTTTTCTCATCTGGGCTGGGCTTGCTTGTCAAAAAAAACCCAAATAAGCCTCAGGCTGAATGAAACGCAGATTCACACCTGTGCAGTAGAGGGCGCAGCTCAAACAAACCTTTAGCAGATTGTAGAAGAATATTACTCTGGAACAAACAAACACAAATGTAATGTTTATCTAAAGACACTTTTGCTTATTTATAAAGTTGAATTGGAGCTGCAGAGACATAGTGAGATAACATATATTTGTGTAATTTAACATATTTAATCATATGCTGAGCTAGTTTTTATTCATTTTTGTGGAATACTGGGTCAGTTGTTGTGCATGGAGATGAGTAAATGCTCACATTAATCTAGAACCACAATAAACATAATGTTTACACAAAACGCCTCTGCACTTACCCCTGATTTCTCTCAACATTTACAGTCAGTAAATGGGAAAACAAAGGGACTTGAGTTGCTTATTTGAAAAACTAACAGATTTTTGTTATACAATTAAAAATAATGCATTATACTTTATTAGTTACTTGGAGATAGTAATCTGATTACTTAACTCAAATGACTTGTAATGGGTTTCCCCAACGCTGCTCATAGCCAGTGCTGTCTTAAATAGACTTTATGTCTAACATGAGATAGGCAGAGCTTGTGTAATGCTGGGGAAAGAGTTGGTTCACCCTTCGCCTATGGATTTTAGCCAAATTAGGACAAACTTAAGGCTCAAATATACACATTGTGGGGGGGGCGCTAGAGAGCAGGCCATGGAGTAAGCCACGTTTTGGGAAGCTCTGCTGAATTTTATTCAAAAAACTTCTTTTTTAGCGCATGATACCTCTCAAATAGGTCTAAAATAGATATCCAAAAGTTAAGCATTAGTTAGTCCGCAACTCCGTTTTATTTTATTTTGAGTTAGCTCTGTCAATGGCGAAAAATCTTCGACAGTTTGCCTATACGGGAAGAAACACGGCTAACAGTAAACAAGCTAGCATGACTGATGCTAAGACTGAACTTCTTACCTCGATGAAGGAAGACATATCTGCATTACTCAGGTCAGAACTGAAAGACGTTCTTGCAAGTGAATTTGAGGCCGTTAAAAGTGAAATACAGTCTGTCAAAACTGAAGTTGTCAATAGTATCTCACTGCTTCGTTCTGACCTGGATTCGATGAAAACTACAGTCGCTGACATGGAACACAGTCTAACCACATGTTCGGATGATGTAGCGTGTCTTCAGACCACAGTGAGCAAACTTCAAGCAGAAGTCTCAGACCTACAGAATAAATGTCTCGATATGGAAGGGAGAATGCGGAGGTCGAATATCCGAATATTGAATGTGCCGGAGGATGCCGGGTCAGGTTCGCCATCTTTTGTCACCAAGCTGCTTAAAGAAGTGTTTGCCATGGATAAAGATGTGATGGTAGACAGATCGCACCGTACTCCTCAACTTGAGAAAACTAAGGGAAGCCTCGAGCCATTATCGCGAAGCTACACTATCACCAGGACTGCGTGGAGGTGCTACGCCGCGCGAGGCAAGCGGGTGGCGCTTTGAAATACGGAGAACTGTCCATCTCAATATTTCCAGATTATCCCCCAGCCGTGGCACGCGCAAGATCTGCATTCAACGAAGTTAAACAACTACTGAAAGACCGGTCGGATGTTCGCTATGGAGTCATTCATCCGGCGAAGTTTCGTATCACGTACAACGGGATTAGGAAGGACTTTCTTGATCCGAAACAAGCACTGTTATACGTCCAGTCGAACATCGTCGATGGAGAGAGGCCCAGTGATGACTGAGAACTTGCAGCATAAAGGCCTAGTGTGGTACATGTCATTGTATACCTGTATATTGATGCTCTGGTGAGTGAAAGTATTGAATAACAATTACAAGAAGCCTTTAACTTTTATTTCTATTTGATTATTATTATTTTATTTATTCATTTTATTTTTTATTTTTTCAAGAATGCAGGCTTACAGCTTCTGAATGGACAATACTGTGTTACCTATAATGTTATAAGGAAGCGCTATCTTAATTTTGTCTAAACTGCTAGCAGAGCAACCTGTTGAAGTTGGAGTTCCCCAATACAAGCACTAATGTGCGGATACCATTGTAAGGGGTTTAGGGTTCACCTTGTTTTGATAATAGGTGATTTGGGGCGGGAGGTAATTGCACTAGGGTTTTCTTTAAGGGTTTTGTTTTGTTTTTGGGAGGATATATCTTTGCTATGTTTATTAAAGTTAGGGTTCATTAATAATCTTGCACAAAATAGAAAATGGTTAATGCACAGATGTTGACAGGAGATACTGGATGCCCTGTAAATTTTGTGAGCTGGAATGTTAAATCTTTAAATCATCCTGTGAAACGTAAAAAAGTATTATCACATCTTAACCAATTTAATGTGGGAATAGCATTTCTCCAGGAAACACATTTGCGAACATCCGATCATTCTAGACTAAGGGGAGGGTGGATAGGCCAACTATATCACTCTGATTTTCATAGTAAATCTAGGGGTGCAGCCATCTTAATCCATAAGAACATTCCATTTACAATGTCGAAAATAGATGCAGATAGATCTGGAAGATATGTTATAGTCACAGGTAGACTATATGAAACTCCAGTTATCTTAGCTAATATATATGCACCCACTTGGGATGACCATGCTTTTTTCTCCAATTTTTTTTCCCGTCTACCAGACATGGATACACATTACCTTATTTTGGCAGGAGATATGAACTGTGCGCTTTCTAGTTTGGATCGTAGCTCTCTTAGAGTCATATCTCCAACCAAGTCTGCCCAGACTATTGAACTATTTCTCCGCTCGTATGGAGTTACAGATGTTTGGCGTTTCAACAATCCCACCTCCAGGTGCTATTCTTTCTTTTCACACGTTCATAAGACATATTCACGAATAGACTATTTTTTCATTGATAATCGTTTCCTTCCTATTGTCAGTAAATGTGAATATAATGCTATAGTTATTTCGGACCACGCGCCAATGTTGATGACACTACAGATACCTGTTTCACAAGTTACATACCGGCCATGGCGCCTAAATAGTTTATGGCTTGCTGATGAATGTTTTGTTCAGTTTATCTCATCTGAAATAGTCACATTTTTGGAATACAATCAAACACCAGGCATGTCATTCTCAACAATATGGGAATCCATGAAAGCGTATTTAAGGGGACAAATGATCTCATATTGTGCCCAAAAGAAAAAGAGTGAAATGGCACGGCTCAAGACACTAACTGATGAAATATTACATATAGACACAACACTTGCGCAAGCCCCATCATCAGATTTATATAAGCAAAGATTGATACTACAGACAGAATTCAATCTCCTTTCAACCAGACATATATCAAACCTCCTCAATAAGACCCGGCACAGAACTTATGAACATGGAGAGAAGATAGGTAGAATCCTTGCCCACCAACTGCGCCAGAAAGCTGCAGCTCAATCTATATCTGAAATAATAGATGAGTTCGGCACCAAACATATAAATCACTCTAAAATTAACCAGATATTTAAACAGTTTTATTCAAAACTATACACTTCAGAGTCACATAAAGAGGAACACCTGATCAGGTCTTTTTTTGATAATTTAGAAATCCCATTAGTGGATGACCGAATGGCTTCTGAACTGGAAAAAGAATTCACTGAGGAGGAATTTCATTTTGCTGTTAAATCTATGCAAAATGGTAAATGTCCAGGGCCAGATGGATTTCCTAGTGAATTCTTTAAAAGATTTGCTAAAGAATTAGCCCCTCTGTTGCTCTCTACATATAAAGAATCATTTACATCTAGCTCACTCCCTCCTACTATGCGTCAGGCTGTTATATCCCTTATTCTTAAAAAAGAGAAAAACCCAGTAGAATGTGGCTCATATCGTCCCATCTCTCTGTTAAATGTTGACAGTAAAATACTCGCTAAAATGCTAGCCCTACGACTGGAAAAAGTACTTCCTTCATTGATCTCAGATGATCAGACAGGATTTATTAAACATAGACAAATATCTTCTAATATACGTAGATTACTTAATGTTCTTTATGATCCCACTCCACCCAAGTGCAAAGAGGTATTAATATCCCTAGATGCAGAAAAAGCCTTTGATAGGGTGGAGTGGGATTACCTATTTTATACATTAAAGTGCTTTGGTTTTGGACAAAAATTTATACATTGGATTGAGACACTTTATTCTCTACCTAGGGCAGCTGTTCGGACTAATAACAACTTGTCTGTTTTTTTTGATCTACAGCGTGGTACTAGACAGGGCTGTCCCCTGTCACCTCTTCTATTTGCCCTAACAATAGAACCACTAGCTATAGCACTGCGTAACAGTGCTGAGATTAAGGGCATAATGAGAGGAGGGGCTGAGCATAAAGTGTCGCTATATGCTGACGACATGTTAGTATATATGACTGACCCTGTGACCTGTTTGCCAAAGATGTTTGATTTGTTAAATTCCTTTGGCAAGATATCAGGATATAAAATCAATGTGCAGAAAAGTGAGCTTATGAGTATTGACCCTAATTTTCCGCTCACTACAATTCAGTCCCTGCAAGTTAAATTATGCACTAACAAATTTAAATATCTAGGTATTTGGATAACCCGTAAGTTTAAAGATCTTTATGAAGCCAATTTCCCTCCACTTTTAGATTGTTTAAAAAAAGACTTAGATCACTGGAATCTTCTTCCCTTGTCGCTAGGGGGGAGAATAAATGTTATTAAAATGAATATTATGCCCAGATTTTTGTTCCTTTTCCAGTGTATCCCCATCTTCTTAACAAAATCCTTTTTCATAAATCTAGATAAACTTTTGTCCGGTTTCATTTGGAATGGTAAAAACCCGCGTATTCGTAGGGAAATTTGCAACGTCACCGATTACATGGTGGGCTTTCCCTACCCAATTTTCAATACTACTATTGGTCTGCCAACATTAAAAACATAATGCACTGGATTCATCTTTCTGGAGCTGAAAACCCAGTTCCCAAGTGGCTAGAGCTTGAGCGTGCATCCTGCTCACAAACATCTTTGCATGCACTAGCCTGCTCTAAAATACCTTTTCCAGAATCCATATCAACATACTGCAAAAATCCAGTGGTGAGGCACTCTCTCAAGATATGGATGCAGTTCAGACGCGCTTTTTCTTTAACTGAGATGTCTATGGATGCCCCTTTGGTGGGAAATAACATGTTTGCTCCCTCCATAACTGATGATGCTTTTAAAACATGGACTGAAAGGGGATTGAAAACAGTCAAAGACGTACATATAGATGGCACCTTTGCAAGTTTTGAACATTTGAGAACACACTTTGACATTCCGAATTCACATTTTTTTAGATATTTACAACTTCGTAGTTTTGTTTCCGCAAATGTTCCATCTTTTCCTTTGATAGCACCAGATTCCCTGTTAGACAAAATAATTAAGATGCCCCTTTGGCCTGGGGAGGTTGTTGGTAGGTTATATTCCATACTCAGCATGGACAATTTGAAACCATTAACAACATTAAAACATCAATGGGAGGAAGAACTGGATGTAGAGATATCAGATGAGCTATGGCAGGTCATCCTCAATAACATACACTCATCTTCTATCTGCCTACGACACATCATTATCCAGTTTAAAGTTACTCATCGTTTACATTGGTCAAAAGCAAAGTTGGCTAGAATTGCACCAGATATTGACCCAGAGTGTGATCGGTGTAATATGGAGCCAGGCACTTTATCACATATGTTCTGGAGTTGTCCCAAACTGTCTGAGTTTTGGGAGTTTATCTTTGCTTTTCTTTCTAGAGTATTGCATACTCATATTGACCCATCACCGATCATTGCCATCTTTGGAGTAGTACCACAAGAACTTGATATAGGCAAATGGGATAAAACTGTGATAGCATTTGTAACTCTCTTGGCCAGACGCATTATCTTACTGAAATGGAAGGATAAGTCTCCACCTGTATTTAAACATTGGATTAACGATGTTATGCACTATTTATCACTTGAGCAAATTCGCTATAATTTGCAGGGTAATAACATTAAATTCAGTAATATCTGGCAACCTGTTCTTACATTAATCGAACAAATGGACTCTAATGACATTGTATGATGTTTTTTTTTTTTTTTTTTTTTTTTTTTCCTGCTATTATACCTGTAGTGTGATGTGGGTGGGTGGGTGGGGTTTTTGGTTGTTAAGTTGTTTGTTTGTTGTATGTTAAAATCCAATAAAAAGA